GCCGGCTCCGCGTGTGCCTGGCGCTGCTGGCGCTGCTGGCGCTGCAGGGCCCCCGCGCCTGCGCCACGCCGGGCCCGGCGCTCTGGCCCCTGCCGCTGTCGGTGCAGACGTCCCCGCGCCTGCTGCGCCTGGCCCACGAGAGCTTCTACATCGGCCACGACCCCTTCTCCGCGGCCGGCCCCTCGTGCACCATCCTGCAGGAAGCGTTTCGGCGGTGAGCGCCCCGACGGGCGGCCGGGCGGGGAGGGAGGAGGGAAGTGCAGCTGCTGACTTGAAGGGAGTTCGGGAGGAAGATGGGCGCTTGAAGCTTGGGGACCAGGGATCCGCAAAGCTGCTTGTCATGCACGGCCCTCCTCCCTCCGCCGCCAGCCTGGTAACGAGTCAGCCGGCAGAGGGTCCCTAGGTTGGAACACGGCCTGAAACTCCCCTTCCCTTCCGCAATCTCTGTTCCAGACACCGCGTTCCGTGTTTTCATCCGCCCGCTTTGATAGGGTCGTGCGCGCAGTATTCGCTTCTCGTTTTCTTTCTCAGCACCAGTCATGCGCCTGCCCCCAGCTTCCTCCTTCCTTCTTTAGCACCTCACATTCCCGCAGCCCTCTCCTGCCCCGACCCCTTTCCACAGGCGGCGCGCATTGTGTAACTGGAGGGCAGCCCGGGCGCCGGCTGTCCTCGTCACGCCATGTACAGGCCGATTGCACTTGGTGGACGTGTTTCATGCCACACGCCGTCCCCTGCTGTGAGACCTGTGTAGGCGGGACTGTCCTGAGGTGCAGTTTGGTGCTGGCTGTACTGCCTCTTTCATCCCCCAGATTTTTGTCTCTGTTCCCAGCGGGCATTATAGCTTCTCTGTACCTGCAGACACCAGACAGCTGGTGGAAAATGCAAAACTAGCTTAACAACACCTGCTGGCCCCAGGGAGCCTGGAGCTGAGGCTCAGGCTGAAGAGGCCCGGGATGTTGACGGGCAGAGAGGGCTCCGTCCTTCCCTCCGTTCTGTGCAACTAAGTGGATGTTGTTACCCTCGTTTGGACGCACACTCCAATGAGCCTTTGGTATTGAGCGTGCTAACGGTGAGGATGGCTAGAGTCAAGTTGGACGAAGAAGTCAAACCAAGGTGCTTGGTTGCCTTGGGATACTGAGGAGGAAAAAGTACCTGTAGGTCATCTAAAGGAAGATCATGGCCAGGAAGTCTCTGAAAAACACACACTAACCACGTTCGCTTTGGGACTCGGTTTGTAAAATGGGGTTTTCCTTCTGTGCCATACTTCCAGTGAAACAAGGACTTGGTAATGTGCTGATGTGATGTGAGTAGGGCAAGAAAGCATGGGTGACGTAGTTAACAGTGGTTAGATACCCAGGACTTGAATCAGCTGTGAGGTGGTTTACAGACTACGCTTGGCATTTCAAGGCAGTGCTGGTAATTATCTGAAGAGGTTTCGGAACTCACGCCCTGTGTGTGAAGCAGCTATTAATTACACCCTGCATTGTTAGGAAGTGGGTTATAAAACATTAGCCCTTACGGCTAAGGCCTGAAAGCATGCTGGTGAGCGTTCTAGGAACTCAGGAGGGGCGGTATTGAGTTCAGGATAAAAGCACCACGGGGTTGGAAAGATTTAGAGATGATGGGGCTGTTCCGAAAGCTCTGGTCGGTGGGGAACACACACAGCCTAGGCCTCAGCTTGTTCAGAATCCGTGGCTCCTGTCTCTGAAGAGCCCACCTTCTATCACAAACCCTGCTTTGAAACAGTGTGCATTTTGCAGGCATAGAGTTCTGTCTGTCTGGCGCACGGCTGCTGCGTGAGCTTCTAGAACAAGGTCCATCGCATGCTAGTCACTCATTTTTTTAAATGAACCAAGAGTTTTGCTCCCTCAGTTCTTGAAAGGCTAAATTAACCCAGATACTTTGGACACCACTGCCTCAGAACCCTTGGAGTTTTCTGTTAGAGTTTTAATATCTAGGACCAAGATTTTCCTTACTTGAGACAAGCCAGCATCTAACTCAGATCTCAAAGCTACTGGTAGCTTTAATTTCCCTTTTTTAAAAAAATTTTTAATTGTAGCAAAATACACGTAAGATTACCATCTTAACTAACTTTAAGTATATAGTTCAGTGATCTTAATTTCCTTTTGAATCTGCTGAGGTTTTCCTATGAAAAGGGCCCTCAGCGCCGTCTTCCATTCCACACTCTCACTGGTTAACTTCCATCACTTCCCAATCCATCGGAACCTGCCTGCCTCTCTTTACTTCTCTGCAAGAACACGTGACGTTCTTACACATAAGCGGCACACACAACCTTCTGCTGATCAAAATCTATAAAATATTATTTAAATATTTGCTTTGAAGCCTATCCGACCTTTTATCTTTTAGCACCTTCAAGTGTTTAATATCCTCTTTCTCTGATATTTGGGTACCAGCAGTAGGTAAATTTTCAAGGCCCTGGTGAGAATTCTGTGGTCTGGTGACCTTGTTGGGGTTTTATGTATTAACTAGGATACCTTTTGTTGGAAGGTGACAAAAAACCTGCCTCCATCTGGCTTAAGCGGTAAGAACACCTATTCTCTCACACATCAGGAAGTCCAGAAGCAGGGAGGATTTCAGGGCCAGGTGACCAGGTGGCTCCACAGTACCATTAGGGCATCCGTATTCTCTCCACTTCTGCTGGGCCATCATCAGTGTGGCTGCAGCTGGTCCAGGTATCACGTTCAGAGCAAGTTTTCTTCTTGTGGCTCACTTAGGAGAGGAAGCTTCCTACCCACCCCTGCCCCAGCACTGGTCAGAACTGGCTTGCACACGCGAGAGTGATGGGATTGCCTTTCTTGGTGTGATTACTGGTTCTTAACGGAGACGTCTGGTGTGTCACTTGGGAGTGTGGAGGACTTTTAAAATCCCCATGCCTGGATCCCACTCTCAGAGATTCTGATTCTGAAGGTCTGGACATCCGTATGTTCTAAAAGCTCCCCAGGTGATTCTAACGTGCATCTTAGGGTGAGAGCCTCTAGCTGAACTAATATGGGGCAGCATGGATCTGAGGAGTCAACTACAATGGTCACTACTACATAGGTATTTAAAACTTGGCTACGGTGCTTTAAAGTTTTGTTTGAATTTATTTCTCACACAGATATTATGACTATATTTTTGGTTTCTACAAGTGGTATCATGGCCCTGCTAAATCTCCTGTTGAAACGGAGTTACAGCAGCTTCTCGTCTCGGTTGTCCTCGACTCGGACTGTAACGCCTTCCCCAACGTCTCTTCAGACGAGTCCTGTGAGTACTGTGTAATGTGAACATGTCACCTTCACAGCTGCGTGTCACAGACTTCAGTGCCAGGAGCAGGCTCCGTGCCGTGAACTGTTGTGAGTTCTTGGCCAATGAGTTTACAATTCCTATTTTTAAAATTACCATTAAAGTCTGATGATAAAAGTAATACATAGTCATTGTAGAAAATCTATAAGTACAGTAAGTGAAGAGGAGGAAATAAATCACTCATAACCCTAGCACTCAGTTAACCACTGTTATTTCAGGGTTTTTTTGCAAAGTAATACTTTTAAATATTTTACAGATATAAATATAAACATGATAAACAACAACATGAAAACGGTAATCTCTGTACATGTGGTTTTTATATATTCTGCTTTTTTGCATAATACATTATAAACATGTATTTCATTAAATATTTTTCTATGACACCATTTTTAATCGCCAAATAATGTTCTACCACTGTATGGATGTGCCACAACTTACTTGGCTAATCCCTTATTTTTGGACACCTAGGTAATTTCTTAACTTTTATTTTGAAGACAAATCTGTGCTTATATCCATGATCTCTATTTATAATCTAATTTGATGCAAAGATAATGCAGAAGTGGGGGGTGGGAGGTGGAGCTATGTCATTTGATTGACAATATAATCAACATTTAGCTACATGACTTCTTTTGTTGCCTAAGACATTATTCTCTAAGGCTTTTCCCAAATTGTTTTAGAAGGAAGAAACAACTGGGGAGGCCTTTTCTAGAGGGCATACTGACTGGGAGTAATGTGGAATTGTACTAAGGAATCAAAGAGGAGCAGTGTGAGGACGCCGGTGATATGAGATTGGTGCAGAGAGCAGACTGGTGAGCTGGGTGTAGAGACAGAAAGGATACTGCACATCTGAGAGAAAAGAGTGACTCCTTTGTCCTCAGACTGCCTCACAGACAGTTAAGGACACTCTTCATCCTCTTGGTATAGATGAGATTTCTTAATAATACATCTCTTTGAAAAATAACTTCACTTCTCTTCAATCCTGTGCTGTTCTTAGAAGAGAGACAGGATAGTTCACCAGCATTAGCCACATGATCTGGCAGTCAGCACTCAGACGCGATAGGAATTAAGTTTTGCAATCAGAATTGAGATAGAAATGGTCATTAAATTACCAAGGAGGCTTTGCTGACTCTTGGCAATACAGTGACATATTGTGACCCAGGAAATGGAATGTACCCAGACTGGAGAGTTATAGTGTATCTTCCATTCAGCTTTGCAAACCCTCTTTATTCTGAAAGGGAAGCTTCTGGAGACAAGCTGATTGGAAAATTTTCTGGTTGAAGGATAAACTAGTGTTAAGTTTTAAATTAGTTTATGATGATGATAGAAGTAAAACACAAGTGGAAATAACAAGATATCAGCTGTTGCTCTGAGTGTGAGGAAAGGTTGGAGGAGATGACAAGTGTTACAGCATCATCTACTAAGAATAAAAATATGCATACACCCTCAGAACCGGAAGTGGACTAATTTCTACTGTAGAGAAGTAATTACTTATATCAAGGATGTTCAATGCAGTTTGCCTGTAACAATGAAGAATTATAAGCAAAACTAAATGTTCGTCAATAGAAGAATGGCGAATATATCTTTTTCATCCACACTAAGGAATACTAGACGACACTTACGAATACAGAAGCCGAGTTGTGAAGAGCAGACAGGGGGCGCTCGCTAAGGTAAACTGCTGGGTGGGACAAAGGAGGTCGTGTTACACTGTGTATAGCAGAATACCACTCATACATCCACACACACAGGACACGTGCAGAGAGCAACACTGGATTTTCTCGTTACCAGTGTATGGAAATGCCTAGGAAAAGGCCTGGTAAGTATTTCCTCTGAGGAGAATGGAGGGAGTTGAGTGGGCATCTCAAAGGGGATTTTAGCCTTATCAATGATATTTTATTATTTTTAAAGAAGAAGATATTATTTGTATGTACACTCTTCAAAAATCTGTGATGCAAAAAAGTACAGAAGGGGGTAAATGAAAAGTCTAAGATGCTACTCCACCCCACGTCAGGGTTACTGCTAATCACTGTTCACACCGATAATTTTGTTATGAAATAAAAACTGAAATTCTGTAGCTTATGTGTCCATATATTTAGAAAACAAAATCTCCTTCTAACTGCTTTATGTTTGTGGTTTTTGCATTGAGTTGAATCAGAATCCTTTTTAATATCATCCAGTTCTTGGCTATTGGAAAATAATCGGCATCAAGTACATGCATCATGTCAATGTTTTTAGATTATTTTTTGTGCTAATTATTTCTGGGAGATCTCAGAACTATAATGTGGCAAAAAATGTTTTTTAAACGGTGACTAATGGAACGGTGAGCTCTAAGTAGCTATCTAAGAACTGGATATAGATGGAGAGGAACCGTGGTTAGATTGTAGTCATGGTAGCAACCCCGTTCTCAGCCTAACCTTTAGCTAACTCATCACCGTGGTCTTCTGATGGAAAAGCCTACCTTGTCAGAAGGCTGTCACCCAAGAGGGTCTCATGATTACTGGCTGCTGATAGAACTCTTTTTCCCTACCTGCAGGCAATATCATGTGACAGTCTGGGGGGTGGTGGTGGAAGGTGGTGATGCAGCCCAGATATGATTTTAAATCGTAAACCTGCAGCCCCCGAATGTCTTCACTGTGGCAAAGTCTGGACCTGTCACCCTCTTGAGCTTTCAGTCTCTCTGCACCCTGTGCGGCTCTATCTGTGGTTGACTCCACCCCAAATCCCTCTCAACGACTGAAATGACTAGGGGCACCCTTAGGCGGAGTATGAGTTCAAGGATTGAAAGAATAGCCCCGTTGTGCCAGAAGCAGCCAACAAGCCCTGTTCTACATGGATGTGAACTTTGTATTGAGTGGGACAAGGCTGAACTAAGCTAAAGTGAGTCTTAAGGCAGATTTAGGATGATATTGGGGGAAAGTGGGTGCAGGGCGAGTAGAGAAGCATGGAAGGAGAAGGGAAGGAGTGGAGAGAACTCTAGCCTTATGAGTGGAAGGTTGGAGTGATACCAGAGGCTTCACCAAGGGACCATGGGCACTGAGGAATGTGTGCACTTTTGACTTAAAATCCTAGCTTAACTAGGAGCCTACTCTGTTGAGGGCAGTCGGGGAGAATAATTGTCCTGGAGGGAAGATGAGGAATCATGGCGATGACTCCCAAGGTTCTGACTTGAGCCACTCAGCTGGCGGGAGGGTGGAGCTGTGACTCACAGGGATGAGCAGCACAGGACAGGCAGGTGAGGGTGTGGAGCGGCAGAAACGGACGAGTTCAGTTTAGGGCATGTGGAGTTAAAGGAATCTAAGAGAAGGTGTACAGCTGGAGAAACAGGGCTGGTGCTCAGGAGAAAAGAATGGCCCAGAAATACCAGTTCGTTGTTTAGGAAATTCAGTGCATGTCACTGAGGAATGAACAAACAAACCTTTGTCTTTTCAATACAGATACTTTGCTTGTGAAAGAACCAGTAGCTCTCCTTAAGGCCAACAGAGTTTGGGGAGTATTACGAGGTAAGTTCTGGGTACCTTCATTGTTATTTTCTAGTAAAGAAATATTTTCAGTTGGTGCTTTGGGAAATCAAGCACAGCAAAACTTTGCTTCCTTGGACCCTTTACAGGATGGTTTGTTCGGTATTTCCAAAATGATTTCCATTAAATATATACCACTTAAAGTACGGGAGAAAGAGCATTTGGGTTAGGATTATACATTCATTCAGTCTGTAATTCATGGATGCTCTTGGGACTGTAATGTTTATAGAGCTATCAGTGGCCCCAACCCGCTCTGACTAGGGGATTTTGTTTCACTATCACTTCTTACTGCCTTCAGTAGCAAGCATCTTACTTCCCCCATTTTATTTATTTGTTTATTCATACAGAAGGTCTCATATTTATTACTGAACCAGCCTACTAGTGCAGAAGCATAAAAACAAAAAGAAAAATGATTTTCCCAATAAAACATGTCCAGCTGTGCAGACAGTAGTGATGTTTTCAGCTTGGTGTGGTAGGATGCTCGTGACCTTGATAGAGCATGAATACAAGGGCCATCTCGTGTGAGGTTCCTTATAGACTCAGCTTGGCTCCTCTCCAGGGTCTCCTCTTGGAGTTGTACTTGATTTTATTACCAGTTTTCATCCGAATCCACTGGGGAATGGGGCAATTCTGCTTTTCATTTTTTTCTCAAGGAACCGCTTGATTCTGAGAGTCTTGTGAGAAGACATGGTAGGGAACAGAGTCAGCTGCACACACCACAATGGCAGAGAAAGGGAGAGAGCCCCTCCACATTTAAAATTCCTGTGGATTTAGAAACATAACCAAGTTCACAGGAACAGTGTGAAAAGATAAATGTACTCTGGAGAGGTTGGAGGCAGTGGGCAGAGAGGAACCTTAAAAGCTTTTCCTGTGAATTTCAGAGTCTGAACTTCAAAGTTTGGACATTGGGACATTTAGTTTTGCTGTTCAAAAGTTTCTTTTACCTCTTCTTCTAAGTAGATAAGATATTGTTGTACTGACTTCCAAATAGAGTTTTAAAAAAGGAGGGTGATTTTCTTTAATGTGAGCTAACCAACAAAAGGTATAGTAATTAGAAATAAAGAAGGCTTTGGATCTGACTCAGGTTGGTTGTTATCTAAAATAAAATAATCATTGTTATGCTATATGTTTTATAGTCATAATAAAGATTATAATCTCATTTCAAAATAGAACATGAGGATTATCTATAGATATTTACCACAAATTCGGCTGCAATCATCATCATCTAGATTATTTACATACAACGTCATGTGGTTTTAAGCTTATATTAGTCTGACTGGCCTATCTTGCTGGGGTCCGTTAGGGAAAACAGAGCCTTATTGGTGTTTGCTCTGATTCACATCAAAATAAAGAACTTCTGAGACCATTCAGAGACTAGAGTCTAGTCCAAGAAGTCCTTATTTTCTGTTTACCATCAGACTTTCAAAGTAACATGCTCAAAACAATAAGTGTATTGCCACCTAACAAAAAATTCCAAAGTTATTCTTCTTGGTATGGGCCTGTATTTGGGTTGAGGGGGAAGGCATAGCAAAAATGACTTTGAACTATTTTTTTCTTTCCTATTTCCTGTCTAACCCTTTTTTTAAATTATAATTGACATATGACATTATGTTAGTTTCACGTGTACAACATAATGATTCGATATTTGTATATATTGCAAAACGATCACCACAAGTCCAGTTAACATTTGTCACCATATACAGTTATAAAAAAATTTTTTTCTTATGATGAGAGCTTTTAAGATCTACTCTCTTGGCAACTTTCAAATATGCAATAATAAGCAAGTATTAATAACTACAGTCACCATGCTGTACATTACATCCCCATGACTTATTTATTTTATAACTGGAAGTCTGAACCTTTTGACTCTCTTCACGCATTTTGCACACCCCTCACCCCCATCTCTGGCTACCACCAATCTGTTCTGTATATCTATGAGCTTGTTTTTTTTGTTTCTTTCTTTAAGATTCCACATCTAAGTGAGGTCATACGGTATTTGTTTTTCTCTGTCTGACGTATTTCATTTAGCCTAATGCCCTCAGGGTCCATCTATGTTGTCACAAATGGCAAGATTTCATTCTTTTTTATGGCTGAATAATATTCCATAGTATACATATACCACATTTTCTTTAGCCATTCATCCATCAGTAGACAGGCTGCTGCCCGTGTCTTGGCTATTGTAAACAAAGATGCAATGAACATGAAAGTGCATGTATCTTTTTGGGTTGTTTTCATTTTCTTCCAATGAATACCCAGAAGTGGAATTGCTGGATCATATGGTAGCTCTATTTTTCATTTTCTGAGGAACGTCCATTACTGTTTTCCATAGTTGCTGGACCAATTCATATTCCCACAACAGTGCCCAAGGGTTCCCTTTTCTCCACCTCCTCACCAATACTTGTTATCTCTTGTCTTTTTGATAATAGACATTCTAACAGGTATGAGGTGATATCTCATTGTGGTTTGGATTTGCATTTCCCTGATGATTAGTGATGTTCAGCACTTTTTCATGTACCTTTTGGCCATTTGTATATCTTCTTTGAAAAAAATGTCTATTCAGATCTTCTGCCCATTTTTTAATCAGATTATTCTTTTTGGTTTTTTGCTGAGTGTTATAAGTTCTTTATATATTTTGCATATTAAAATATATAATATGATCATGGGGATATGATATCCCCTTATCAGATAAATGATTTACAAATATTTTCTCCCATTTGGTAGGTTGCCTTTTCATTTTGTTAATGGTTTCCTCTGCTGTACAGAAACTTTTTAGTTTGATGTAGTCCCACTTGTTTATTTTTGCTTTTGGTGCGAAATCCAAAATATCACCACTAAGACTGATGTCAAGGAGCTTACTGCCTATGTTTTCTTCTAGGAGTTTATGGTTTCAAGTCTTATATTTAAGTCTTTAATCCATTCTGAGTTAATTTTTGTGTGTGGTATTAGTAGAGCAGTGTCATTCTTTTGCATGTGGCTGTCCAGTTTTCCCAACACCATTTATTGAAGAGACTGTCCTTTCCTTGTTGTACTGTCTTGGCTCCTTTGTCGTAAATTAATTGACCATATATGCTTGGGTTTATTTCTGGGCTCTCTATTCTGTTCTCTTGATCTATGTGTCTGTCTTCATGCCAATACCATACCGTTTTGATGGCTATAGCTTTGTAATATAGTTTAAAATCCAGGAGTGTGATGTTTCGAGTGTTGTTCTTCTTTTTCAATATTGCTTTGGCTATTTGGGGTCTCTTGTGGTTCCATACAAATTTTAAGATTGTTCTAGTTCTGTGAAAAATGCCATTGGAATTTTGATAGAGATTGCATTGAATCTGTAGATGGCTTTGGGTAGTATGGACATTTTAACAGTATTAATTCTTCCAATCCATGAGCATGGAGTATCTTTCCATTTCTTTGTGTCTTCTTCAATTTCTTTTATCAGAGTTTTATAGTTTTTAGTGTAGAGGTAGTTTATCTTCTTGGTTAAATTTATTCCTAGGTATTTTTATCCTTTTTTGATACAACTGTAAATATGATTGTTTTCTTAATTTCTTTCTGATACTTTGTTATTAGTGTATAGAAACAACACATTGTGTATATTGATTTTGTATCCTGCAACTTTACTGAACTCATTGATTAGTTCTAACAGTTTTTGGGTGGAGTCTTTAGGGTTTTCTATATATATCATGTCATCTACAAATAGTGACAATTTTACTTCTTCCTTTCTGATTTAGATGCCTTTTATTTCTTTTTTTTTTTTTAAGATTTTATTTATTTATTTCCCCCCCCAAAGCCCCAGTAGATAGTTGTATGTCATAGCTGCACATCCTTCTAGTTGCTGTATGTGGGACGCGGCCTCAGCATGGCCGGAGAAGCGGTGCATCGGTGCGCGCCCGGGATCTGAACCCGGGCCGCCAGCAGCAGAGCGCACACACTTAACCACTAAGCCACGGGGCTGGCCCGCCTTTTCTTTCTTTTTCTTGCCTAATTGCTCTGGCTAGGACTTCCAATACTATTGGAATAAAAGTGGCCAGAGTGGGCATCCTTCCTTGTCTTGTACCTGATTTTAGACTAGGAAAAGCTTTCAGCTTTTCACTGTTGAGTAGGATGTTAGCTGTGGGTTTGTCATAGATGGCCTTTATTATCTTGAGGTACGTTCCCTCTATAACCACTTTGTTGAGAGTTTTTATCATAAATGGATGTTGAATTTTGTCAAATGCTTTTTCTGCATCTGTTGAAATGACCATATAATCTTTATCCTTCATTTTGTTAATGTGGTGTATCACGCTGATTGATTTGCAGATGTTGAACCATCCTTGCATCCCTGGAATAAATCCCACTTGATCGTGGTGTATGATCCTTTTAATGTATTGTTGAATTCATTTTGCTAATATTTTGTTGAAGATTTTTACGTCTGTTCATCAGAGATTTGGCCTGTAATTTTCTTTTCTTGTGGTGTCTTGTCTGGTTTCGGTATCAAGGTAATGCTGGCCTTGTAAAATGAGTTTGGAAGTGTTCCTTCCTCTTCTATTTTGTGGGAGAGTTTGATTGGTATTAATTTTTCTTTAAATGTTTAGTAGAATTCACTAGTGAAGCCTTCTGGTCCTGGACTTCTGTTTTTTGGGAAGTTTTGATTACTGATACCATCTCCTTACTAGTAATCAATCTGTTTAGATTTTCTGTTTCTTCATGATTCAGTCTTGGTAGGTATGTTTCTAGGAATTTATCCATTTCTTCTAAGTTGTCAAATTTGTTAGCATATAATTATTCATAGTATTCTCTTACAATCCTTTGCATTTCTGTGGTATCAGTTGTAACATCTCCTCTTTCATTCCTGACTTTGAACTATTCTTAGGTTCAAGTTTTTCTCTGGATATATAGTTGTCAGCTAGAATGATGAATTTTGGTAAAGTCAAGGCCAGTTAGAGGAATTGTCCTGTAATATGGTGGGAACAATCCTGTAAAGGTCTTTCACTTCCTTGGTTACAGAAGCCTCCTTGGTGGCCTGTAATATTAAGGGAACAATCCACTTGAGTAAAAAAAATGTTCAGGAGATAGTCTTTGCGGCTCTGAGTAAAATGTTGTAAGTTGGGCCTTTATTTATGGTTTCATGGTGCTTTTTTGAGCCTTTTTGCCCTCTGTTGAGTTTAGGTACCTTCTAAAGTGCCTATAATATTTTATCATAAAAATTTTCTCATAATGCTATGAACTTATTAAGGAACTGGTATTTTGTTTTATTAAATCACTATTGTTTTTTGTATTTATCATTCAAACAAAACCCAGGATATGGGTACAAGGAAGTAAAGCATTTTTATTAGATGGCAACAGGGATTTTTTTAAAATTGAGCTTTGATCTTAGGAAATATGCTAGATGCTATAGGTATAACACTAATTTTATTTGCCTTATCTGGTTATGGTTCTAATGTTTGGGTAATACAACTTTTATTCTCTCAATTTGCTATTTTGTAAATTAATGCAATAAATTATAAATTTTACTTTTCCTAGGTTTAGAGACCTTTAGCCAGTTAATTTATCAAGATTCTTATGGGACTGTAAGTATTATTATTATATGTTACTAAGATTGTTGGATAGACTTTACAACAAGAAAAATGTAAGCTTTTTAGCTATTTATTGCTTCTTGAAGGTTCTTCTCCCCAAATATTCATCTTAGCTGGTAAATGTAAATGTCACACTTTTTTTGTTCTAAAGTAATCTTTTCTCCAGTGCTTACATAGATAGATGTAGTCTTCATTGAGCTCAAGAGAAAAAATTCTAAAAATAAATCAAAATTTTATTTTGTCTTATAGTTCACCATCAATGAATCCATTATTGTTGATTCTCCAAGGTTTCCTCATAGAGGAATTTTAATTGATACAGCCAGACACTATCTGCCAGTTAAGAGTATTCTTAAAACTCTGGTAAGTAATTATTTTATTTTAATCCATTGTCTGTCTGAAGATGTGTCCATTTATGTTGGTTACTTACACTGTTTTAAGATTGGAACAGGGGGATTAGTTTTTCATGTACTAAGTATAAGCACTGGGCTTTCTTCCCTCCCTCCCTTGGGAAGTATATTTCCTCAGCCAAGAAGTGGAGACCCCCCCTGGGGAATCCCTCATTTTCATGGCGGGGCTCAACAAGTATAGTCATGCACCACATAATGATGTTTTGATCAAAAGACCACTATACTACAGTGATCCCTTAAGATTAGCGCCTTATAGTGTAGGTATGTAGTAGGTGTACCATCTAGGTTTGTAAGTATACTCTATGATGTTCGCACGGTGATGAAATCGCCTTATCACCATTTCTCAGAACATTTCCCCATCGTTAAGTGCCCCATGATTGTATTTAGCCAGGAGTGTTAAGAGAAAGACACAGTTTTAATACTGCCTCTTGGCCCTGTCTGTAAACTCCCATTTGTTAAATCATGGGTCCAGACTTTTGGTTAGGAATATATGGTCACCCTGTCTCTAGTTAATGTCCTTTAATTTTGTGGCCTCCACTTACTTTCTTTAAAATAGCATAGAAAGGAGTCTGGGAGCTGCTTTATGCCTAGGGAAATGTTCCAAAGGACTTTGGGTGGTGGGAGTTGGGGCCAAGGTTGACAATAATTATCTTCTCCTATGGACTTTTTATCGGTTCACTCCCACCATCACTGTCAATTTGTAGAGGTGGGGAGGTTTCCTCCCATGTTTTTATGCACCTTCACTTGATCATTTACAAACACACTATGTTATAAAAAAAATTACTTTTACATTTACATTAATACTCTGAATTTTTTTCTCCAAACGACATTATTATCACTTTTATAAAAGAAATAAATGCTTAGAGTAAAAAGTTGGAACAATATAGATATGCATAAAATAGGTGTAATCCCATAATTTCACTTACCAAAGACTGACATAAATTTCTATGTCCCATTTATCTCATTTTAGACTTAAAAAATGAATGTATTAACATAACACGACTTTTTTAAAAACTTAAATGGGATTGCACTTTTGCTACCTTTAAAAAAACTGTTATGGACATCTTTCTTTGAAAGAATACATAAGGTCTGTATCATCATTTTAAACAGTTGAATGTTCCAGTTTATATACCATGATACATATTTAACCAGTCTCATGCTGAGGGACATCTAGGTTAATTTATTATTCTCACAAACAGCACTGCAGAGTAAGTGTTCTTATATTTGCACACTTGTCAGGGTTATTTCCTGAGGATAAATTCCTAGAAGTGAGTTTCTGGGCTTAAAGATGTATACATTTTATGTTTTGGTACATTTTAACTTTTGGTACATACTGTTAGACTGCCTTCTAGAGAAGTCATACCAACATATGCTTGGCCAGCACTGGGGCACACCTTTGCCATCTTCTTTGCTATCTTCTTTGCTAATCTGGTGATGAAGTGTATCTCCTCGTTTTAATTTGCACTTTGATTTTTAGTCAGTATAAGCCTCTTTTACTGTTTGTATTTTTTATGTTGCAAACTGCAAGTTTATTTTCAATGTCCATCTTGTCTTCTAGAATGTTAATTCTTCATAGTCGGTTAAAGAGCTCTTTAATGTTGTATTTGTTTATAGATGAATCAGTGATACTTTTATATTTGTTTGTATTGATGAATTATATACTTATACATCATATATTGTTCTGAGGTGTTCTAAATTTGTTTTTTAAACTATGTTTATAGTGTCTTTTGCCTGTAGAAGTTTTATTTTTTTATGAAGTAATATCTTTTAATCTTGTATAGTTTTTGGCCTTGGGAGGTCTGCTAAGAAAGGCCTCCAAAACAAGGGTATAAATATAAAAATAACCTCTCAAATTTTATTTTAATATTTTACTTTTTCCTATTAAATTCCTCATTTGGTTAGAATTTTCTTTAGTGTATTGTAGGTGCTATATATTTTAATTTTTTTTTCTAAATGGTTAGCCTGTAGTCCCAACACCATTTTTGAGCAACCTCTCATTCCCCCACTGCTTTCAATGTCACCAGTAGCAAATACTAAATTCCCATAATTACACAAATCAGTTTCTGGACTCTCAGTCTGTCCTGTTTACCAGTTTGTCTTCGTGGGCCAGTAGAGATGGTTTTTTAATTTCTGTAACTTTAGAAGTTTGTTTTTTCTTTTCATTTTGAAGTAATTTCATACTTGACAGAAAAGTTGTAAGAAGAGTGCAGAGAACTCCCATACACTCTTTACCCAGACATCCCAATTTTAAAATTGTATCATATTCGCCTTATTCTCCCTCTCTATTTAAACATTTTTTTTTCTAAACCATATGCAAGTTGCACATATGATGCCCCAGTACCCCTTAATATTTCTGTTTGGATTTCCTAAAAAATAGCGTTTATCTCAATAACTATAGTACAACCATTAAAAATCAGGAAATTGGCATACTACCACCATTTAATCCACAAACCTCCTTCAGATTCTCTCAGTTTTTCCAGTCATGTCCTTTCTAAATTCAGCATCCAATCTGGTGTCAAGTGTTGCATTTATTTGTCTCTTTAGCCACTTTCAATTTGGAACCATTTATCTTTCCTTGTCTTTCAAGACTATGACACTTGGAAGAGTTCAGGCCAGTTGCTCTGTGGAGTATACGCCAGCCTGTCTGTGTTCCACATGATGAGAGTCAGGTTATGTGGTTTGGGCAGGAATAAGGCAGAAGTGCTGCTGTGCTCTTCTCTGTGCACGTCAGGTGGCACGATGCCTCTTTATTCCATTGCTGGTAGTGGTAACTCTTAGAACTTGGCTAAGATGTCATCTGCCGGGTCTCTCCACTATAAAAGTTAATTAAGAAGTATTTTGTACTTATTAATAAATAATTAAGTATCTTGTGGGGCAATATTTTGAGATTATGTAATTTCTCTTCTTCACTCTGCGTTTACCCAAAATACTTTCAGCATCTGCAGATAATTCCTGCCCATATCAGTTATTACCAAGATGGCTACCAAGTGGTAATTTTTCTGATTCTGTCGTTCCTTCTTTATTTATTAGTTAGCATTTACTGTAAGGCAGAGCTTCTCTTTGCTTTAAGTATTTATTCATTATTCTTAGCAGTATGTACTAAGGGATTACTGTTTCATCGAGTGTTACTGTCCCTATTTAATAGTCAGATTGTCCTCGCATTGGCCAGCAGGAGTCCTTCTAGCTGCCTCTTGTATCTTTGGGCATGTCTCCTTCAATCTTTGAGTACTTTCTCACTTTTTAGCACATGATAGTCCAGGCTTACCTTTCCTCTTTCCCAGTCCTGGAATCAGACTTTTCTCCAAGGAACCCTTTTAGTAGTGAATGATACTTTGAAACCAAAATCTGGGCTGTAGGTGTACTCGTTGCTTCCAGGCCCTCTCAGCCTACAGAGCTAGAAAATACGTGTCTCTATGTACATACACGTTTATATGAACGCACACACACACATCTTTACCTGTTTCTGCATCTGTCTATATCAGGGTTTGGTCCTTGGGCAAACTACATCCCAAGGACCAAATCCAGTTCGTCACCTGTTTTTGCAAATAAAGTTTTACTGGAAGACAGCCACGTCCATTTGTTTATATATTGTTTCCCTCTACAACTGCAGCATCAGTTGTGACAGAAACTATGGTTCACAAAACCAAATAATTGACTATGTGGCCCTTTACATAAACAGTTTGCAAACGCTTCGTCTTCAAAACCATGAGGAACTCCCTTCTGATGGTGAAAATCCTGCCATTATGCTCAATATATTTACTTCTTTACACAATTCCCTGGTATGTAAGCTATTTCCCAAATGCATCAGCAAATCCCTTCAGCCGTGACGATGGAAAAGGTAGGCTTTAAGGTTTGGTTATCTGGTAGAGGAAATCTCCTCCCTTATTATATCTTTTTCAAATAGTCTGTTTATATTTTATATAAATATATTGTCTGTTCCTCCAGAGTATACATAAAATCAAAATGTCAGTTTCCCCCAAAATTTCTGAGACTTTGATGGAAATTGTATTGAATTTGTACCAAATTTCTTTCATTTCTAAGGAAGGGTTGGCACTCAAATCTCAGAATTGTGGGAATTGTAAGCCCTGGTACTTAAATGAATGCCCCGTTTTTCCTCTGCTCCATTCCCAAACACAGTAGTAGCAGCCAAGAACTGTTTTCCATTCTTGGCTGACGCCTAAATACTTACTGCGGATTTATAAGCTTGCTCCCTTCCCATAAAGCAAAATTATAGCTCTCTGTTTATAATAAATACAAATTCTGTATAGGCTTTTTGAAAAGTGACATGCCATATAAAGTACGTAAGATAAATAATTTATACTTCTTCCACATTCTTTCTTTGCTGAAAAAGTTTTAAAAGGAAGCAGTCATGTACATTGGATTGTGTATTATGGCTGTGGTATATAATTTCTTAACATGTTTGCTTGCAGGACGCCATGGCTTTTAATAAGTTTAATGTTCTCCACTGGCACATAGTTGACGACCAGTCTTTCCCTTATCAGAGCATCGCTTTTCCCAAGTTAAGCAATAAAGTGAGTAATTCATGTTATTGTAGTCTGTCTACAAATATTTTTGGTATAGTTTCATTAGAAGTTTGTAGCTTAAATGTTTCTTCTTATGGATAGAATTAAAGTGTAAAAATTAGATGTTCGTTGTTTTAAATTTTTTTTAATAGGCTGTGGCTTAGCATATTAGATCCATAGAACTGTTCTGTTTTAGTAATTTTTATGTTACTACAAATGTAAACTATCTAGGGGTTGCACAAATAAGATTTTAAAAACTAATGACTATAGGAGACCTGAAGCATTCATGATTAACATAAGGTGAAGTAATTATATTTATCAAGTAGTCCAACTGTATGTTTGTTTTAAACAGAATTGTTTTGAGTCCTGTAAATGACTATTTCTTTTTCTCTCTGAAAAACTACATGAAGTAGGGAATGTTAAAGATGAGAGCTCCTTCTTAGAAAATAATGGTAGTCTCAGAAGTGTTCCGATTGACTGTATAGACCAGCAGAGCCGGGAGCGAGCCTCACTATCACCTCGTTTAGTCCCCCTGTGATACAAAGACAGCCACTGACCCCTGAGAGAAGCTTATGCCTCATCCAAAGTTGCAGTTAGGAAGGGGCAGAGCCAGGACTCTAAATTTCACGCTTTAGGCACAACCCCAGAGCTTTCTCCAACATCACGATGTAGTGTGAAGTGAAATGCACTGCACTCCTGTTTCTGTTTGCTTATGGAAAATTTCATACATATGCAGAAGTAGAATCATTTAATGACTTCCCGTGTCCTCAGCACCCACCTTCAGGAATCCATACATGGCCAATCTTGTATCCCCTGTACTCCCCTCACTGTTATTTTGAAGCAAGTGCCCGACATTGTATCTCATCTGTAAAAAGGCCTTTTTACAAATAAATAACCATAATACATAATCACAGCTAAAAAATTAACAATAATCCAGATAGCCAATCATTATTCCTTAAGTGCCTTTTCTTTTCTTTTTTGTTTTTTTTGCTGAGGAAGATTTGCCCTGAGCTAACATCTGTTCCCAATCTTCCTCTTTTTGCTTGAGGAAGATCGTCTCTGAGCTAACATCTGTGCCAATCTTCCTCTATTTTGTATGTAGGATGCCACCACAGCATGGCTGGTGAGTAAATGAGGTCCAAGCCCGGGATCCAAACCCGCGAACCTGGGCCAATGAAGCAGAGCGTGCGGAACTTTTAACCACGGCCATGGGGCCGGGCCCCACCTTTTGTTTTTTTATAAAAAAAATCTTATTTGCATTGGGATGCAAGTAAGGTCCATACATTACAGTCAGTTAACATGTCTACTAATTCTCTTTTAATCTATAGGTGCCCACCCCTGCCCATCTCTTATTTTTCTTGTGATTTGTTGTTGTTGTTTAAGAAACTAAGTCATTTGTCCTGTAGTCTCCCAGAGTCTAGGTTTTGCTGATTGCATTCCCACAGTGTCAATTATCATGCTCTTCTGTCACCCGTATTTACTATAAACTGGTAGGCAGATCTAGTCTTGATTAGATACAAATTTGATGGTGGGGGTGGGACAAGACTACTTTGTGTGAGTTGAGCATTTATATTTATTTACATATTTATATATTATATTTATACCTTGGGAAATGTGCTGCAGTAACACCTTTAATAGACCTTTATCTTTAGTTACAACCAATATTGAGCTCTAATTTTTCAAGTAACCTATAAAGGGACTCAGGGTAATGTTAAAAAAAAAAAAATCAGGTCTAAGACTTATCAGAGCATCTCTGCGGGATTTTTTAAGCTGACAGTAATTAAGGTGACTTTGAAAGATAACAGCTAAGCTTTGTAATAATGTGTGAATTTTGATTCTAAAACTGATAAGGGTATTGTATTCAGAGCTTTCACTTTGGAATCCAACATTTTATTTCTGTTTTGTTGTATGGTTACCTGAGGTGGAAATAACACCACGGTAGACGTTCCTGGAACAAGAGGCGCTGGTAGAGACGGTAGTTCTGTCATTAAATCTGGAATTAACCCAAATTGTGCTGAGAGCTTATTGATAAGATATGGTGAACAAATAATTTATTTAAATGAGTCATCCAATTTCACATTGGACTATTTAAGAGACTGTGATACAGGATAAATCAGCTATCGGATATCAAAGTGCAAACAGAACTGTTAACAATTCCCAGGACCAAATCCACTTAGTACATTTTAATTTTAATAATTGTGGCTTTTATAGGGAAGCTATTCTTTGTCTCATGTTTATACACCAAATGATGTCCGTATGGTGATTGAATATGCCCGATTACGAGGGATTCGAGTCATACCAGAATTTGATACCCCTGGACATACACGGTCTTGGGGAAAAGGTAAGGAGTGTGTTTTATCAGTTGCCAAGAGTAAACATTTGAGGTCCTGCATCTCTTACTTTAGGAGTTGGTGTTTGCTCATTTTGTTCTTCACTGTGATACGCACAAAGGCAACAATATTGACAGATACAATTCAGTAACTATTATGTCTCTATTGTGAGCAAGTCACTGTGACTAGGCACTGCCTGAAGTATGTAAAAACAAGGGCTAAAGGACAACATGAAAATGGATTACAAATAGTACAACATAAGTGAGATCAAGAGACGGTTCCATGGATGAGGGAACACCAAAAGTGCTTCTGAGAGATCGAGAATGTGCTCGTGTTCTGGTAGAGGGAATAACACGAGGAAAGGCCTGTGGTTGGAGGAGAGGGCAGCAGAAAGGAGGGCCCAGAGGGTGGTTAAGAACTGGCTCTGCAGCCAGACCACCTGGGTCTGAATCCTGCTTCTGCCATATAAACTGAGTGATCTTGGGCAAGTTATAGAACTTCTCATCCTCAGTTTCCCCATCTCTAAAATGGGGATATTAGTAGTAGCTATCATGTAATCTTTTTGAGGATTAAATAATGAATGTGAAGCACATAGCACAGCACCTAGCATTTGTTACTGTTCAATAAATATTATTAGGGTAGACATGGAGAATATTGGGAAGTAAGTCTGGGAAAGTGCAATGTTGAGGGCCTTGGGTGAGGAACGTGGATTCCATCAGGACACATGGAAACCAGTGAAAGTTACTGAGCAGAAGAGCACCATGATGGGAGCAGGAAAACCTATGTGAAAGTGACAGACTGAAAGGGAAAGAGACTGCAGTCCTAGACCAGAATGGTGACAGTGGGAATGACTGATGTACAGAACTGAGAGCCATTCTGGAAATGTAACCCATAGAACTGGCCAACTGACTGACTCCCAGAGGAGAGGGAAGAGACAGACTAGGAGGATGGTGGCACCCTTACCAGAATACGAAAATCAGGAGAAGCTACAGCAGGAGCTTAGGGAAGAGAAAATTTGGTTTTTGTTAGATCGTATTTGAAGTGCAGCCTGGATATCTAATTATGCTCAGCAGGGAATCTGAAGTAGGGACTGAAGCTTAAGAAACAGGACTGGGGAAAGCTGAAGATACAGGAGTCCTTAATATCCGAGATAATACCTGAAGTGGGTAAAATCTCAGAGGGGCTGATGGAGACGGAAACAGAGGTACAGGGATAGGATTTAGGAGACAGTTCTCCCTGATCTTATTTGGAAGAAATTACCATAGTAACTCTTAGTAAATACGCTTATCTTTTTCTGTATAAAATCTCTTATAGCTTCAACAAAATAAAATAGTATAATCATGTGCAAAGCCACGTCTTTGTGATTAAAATTTTCTTTAGAAACAATCTTCATGTTGTCTTCCAGGTCAGAAAGACCTCCTGACTCCATGTTACAATGGACCTAAGCAGTCTGGGACTTTCGGACCTATAAACCCCATTCTGAATACAACTTACAGCTTCCTGTCTAAACTTTTCAAAGAAATTAGTATGGTGTTTCCAGATTATTTCATTCATTTGGGAGGAGATGAAGTAGACTTTCAATGTTGGTATGACAATTCTTTAAAACCCTTATTTTATCTTTTTTTAACCGTTGCATTTAAAGTAGGTGTCGAGGTCTCCACATGAAAAGGGAAGATTGGGGTAGGATCTCTGCTAGCAAGGTTTTAATTTGGCAACACCACTCCTGAGATGGTGGATTTTTGTAGGACCTATATATGGGTGGTATGACAAAGCACAAACTTTTAGGAAGGAGAGTAAGATGCAGAAAAAAATGGAGATTTTAAAAGACTGTAGCGAATGTGAACAGCTTTAGTGAAAGAGGGCAATGATTAAGTGGGGGCGATTTTTCAAGTAAAATTCCTCTTTGCAAATAACCTTAGATGGAGGAGGGGGGTGGGAGGTGGGGAAAGCCATTTTTACAGGAAATCAGCTTCTGGAAAAGATTATTTGCAACAGAAAATAACTCAAAATAAGATAACTCATAATTAAGTTTTAGGTTTAATTTATTCCCTACAAACTATAATAGTTTTAAATCTGCACAAATGATGTTAGGGGTATGTCCTGCTTTAAGTAGATTGGGCGTATCACACTTTTAATGAAATTTTAATCACTGTTTTTGTTTAAGGGAGTCCAATCCAGATGTCCAAAATTTCATGAAGCAAAAAGGCTTTGGGAAAGATTTTACAAAACTAGAAGCTTTCTATATTCAGGAGTAAGTTACTTGAAAGCCTACTTCTGTTCTTATTTCATCAATGCTTTCTGTAAAAATTTTAGCTATTATTTAGTACCGTTTTATTTTTTCATTGTCTCTCCACCCCTTGCCAAAGATAGATGTTGTCTACTTTGTTGTACAAAGTCTAGATGAAAAATCATAAAGAAGGAAGCGATGGCCACTGCTTTTTTTTTTTTTTTCCCCCCCACAAAGCCCCAGTAGATAGTTGTATGTCATAGCTGCACATCCTTCTAGTTGCTGTATGTGGGATGCGGCCTCAGCATGGCCAGGAAGCGGTGCGTCGGTGCGCGCCCTGGATCCGAACCCAGGCCGCCAGTAGCGGAGCACGCGCACTTAACTGCTAAGCCACGGGGCCGGCCCCCAATGCTTTTTTTAAATCAATAACATGGTGGCTCTAAGCCTTTTGCAGTAACTGTGGAAATAAACGATAGCCGTCATCTGTTCTAAGGACTCAGCTTAGAGCCCTGGCTACCCTGCAGAGTCTTCATCACTATCTGGCCCCTGTAATTCATTCCCTTTTGTCAACTCCAGGAGCATTTCTTTCACTTCATACCTGTGCTGTCCAGGATGGGAGCCATTGCCACATGTGGCTGTTTTAAGTTAAAATTGAAGAAAATTAAAAATTCAGTTTCTCAGTCACATTAGTCACATTTCAAGTGTTCAGTGAGGCTTGTGGCTGCCATATTGGAAAGTGCATATTTACACATTTCCATCACTGCAGAAAGTTCTGCTGGACAGTGCTGCTCCATACTAGGAACTGGTAAACTTTTTCTGTAAAGGGCCAGACGCTAAATATTTTAGGCTTTGTGGGCCACATATAGTTGCATATTCTTACTTTTTAAAAAACACTTTACAAATGTAAACCCATTCTCAGCTCATGAGCCATACAAAAACAGGCTTTAGGCTACAGTTTGCCAATCCCTGCACTGGGCAAGCCCAGATTGTGGCCTTTTCCTGTTTAGCTTTTTGTGTGAATCATTCTAATTTTTTTATCCTGCAGAGCACCTGCCATTTTCTAAATATCAGGAAATATTTGTGGACTGTCAGCAACTGTTGAATGTTACTTAGGTGACGTCACAGGCTAGATTATAGTTTCCTTCATTCTAAGATACCCATGAAATGACCAGAGATTGCTGTTGCCACGTCTTCCTGTCTGTGGGGCATGCTTAGCTCATTTATTCAGCCAATGACAGTTAAACCCCTCTGCTGTGTCAGGTTCTGAGCCATGTGCAAGATAGAAGGAACCACAGGAGTCACCACCCAATTTTAGCTGGTTCTGCTGTAAAGCTGTGTATATTATACTGAAAGGCACCTCTCAACATTGCAATCCTTGGTGGGAAATGTGCATGCTTGTTAAACGTATTAAGCTTGTGATCTGAAATAACTTTGTAATTTTTTCCAATGGTAGGCTTTTGGATATTATTTCAACCATAAACAAGGGATCCATAGTGTGGCAAGAAGTTTTTGATGATAAAGTGGAGGTGAGAAGTTTGAAGACTGCGTTTGAATCTGATAATATGAGAGACTTAATGTTCTAACGTCCTGGATGGGAGGAACCCTAATGAAGCTTTCCCCAACATTATGGGGAAATTAGCTTACCTCTCTGTTTTTTAATTTTGTTAGGCAATAGCTGTAGGTGGAGACCAGTGACAATGGTATTTGTTTCTTTTCGTCCATTTACCTCACTCTTTAGTGCCTCCTCCTCCTCCTCATCTCTCCCCTCCTCCCCCACTATCTCATTATTAATCACAAATTAAAGTACTTTAAAGTAAGTTCTTTTTTTAAAAGAGGAGAACAAACATAACACATGAGTATTGCTATTAAGGTAGTTTAAGTAAAATTGTCCACATACATTTAATTTAAATGGCATCTCTCTCTGACATAGTCAGAATTCTTTATTTTCCTTTGGAGCAACTGAGAATTTCCAAGTCCAGCTACTAGTATTACCTTTCCAGGAGGGCTGGTGACATCCTCACAGGTAGAAATGGGGCTAAAGCCTTAGTTCATTGCACCTATATCATGTCATATATAGGCAAAAGTTAAATATCCAACCTTAAGGTTGAGAAAACTTCTAATTTTGAGTCCCTACAACCAATCGCGGTTGGCAGTACCTCTGAGGGGAAAGGGGAAAGAAGAAAACGTGTTATTTTTTCAAGGCTCTTAGACAGTTCTTTTCCTAACTGTAATGCCTTGGGCTTGTGATTTCATCTACTATATCTGCTAGACCTAATGAAATATATTGCAACTTGTAACAGCTGCAGCCAGGCACGGTAGTTCAAGTGTGGAAAACAGAGGCGTATCGTGGAGAACTAAGTCAAGTCACAGCGGATGGCTTCCCTGTGCTCCTTTCTGCTCCGTGGTACTTAGATTACATTAGTTATGGACAAGACTGGGAGAAATACTATCAAGTGGAACCTCTTGATTTTGATGGTAAGTGAAGCAACCATCAGTACCTTGATTTGTTAGTTTTCTTCTCTGCGCTCCACCAGGAAATCCTTACCTACATATTACCCACTAACTCTCCTCCCTTTTAGGTTTGATCCTTGATTTTGTGTTTACTTAAAAAGAAAAGCCTCAGTATCATTTTAAACTTTGTAAAAGAAATCATATCCTGGCCTAAATAAAGAACTTCAACAGTGGATTCCCTTAGATTGTATCTCCATTTTCACTGAGTCTTGTTACTCACTCTCTACATTTTAAAGATGTTTGAGGGCCGGCCCTGTGGCTTGGTGGTTAAGTGCGCGCGCTGCAATGCTGGTGGCCCGGGTTCGGATCCCGGGTGCGCATCGAGGCACCACTTCTCCGTCCATCCTGAGGCCGAGTCCCACATACAGCAACTAGAAGGATGTGTAGCTATGACATACAACTATCTACTGGGGCTTTGGGGGGAAAAAATAAAATAAATAAAATCTTTAAAGATGTTTGACTGCATGACCCCTGTAGCTCCTCTTCTGACCTGCCTCTCCAATGTAAGACACCAAGCAGGCTTTAAACTAGCCCGGTGGATTTCAGGCTGCGTAGCCTAGGGTTCTGAGGAGCAGGCATCCTGGGGGGAGGCGGTGGGAGGGGCTGTCTGAGTGTCGGAGCTGCAGGCTTCAGAGCCCCTGCATGAAGAACAGTTGCTGCTTTGTCCAGTTCTGTACGCCAGACTTGATTATAAAATTTTCTTTGAGAAAAAGGATTTTGCTGTTAAAGTTTCAAAACCGTAAGTCTCTTATGAATTGACTGAACGGTTTCTATAGAAAACATTTTCTGAGAATCAAAAAGTCATAATTACTGTAAAATGAATATATCAAGAGGTAAATATGGAAGGCAGGAGTGGTGGTCACTAGAATTCCAACTTGTATGCCCCAGCACACTACTCACACACAACCAGGGGAAAAAATGCTTCTGGTGTCCAAATAAGTTTGCATAAAACCCAAATAAAAGGTTATCTTGAATACCGGCCCACCACATTAGTTGACATATGCTAATAAGCACTGTGTGAACCACAGGGTCAGGGGTGGGAATCAAGTTTGCCACAACCATGAACATCTCCCAAGGTCCTGCTGACTGTGGGAGAGAAATGTTGAGAAATGTTGTCCTAGGATAAAGAGAGAAGGAGAAATCAGTATTGCCTCTGTATACAAGCCTTGAGCTGCAACTACTTAACTTACATCAATTCAATGATTTTAATGTAGGTTCTCCAAAACAGAAGAAACTTGTCATTGGTGGAGAAGCTTGTCTATGGGGCGAATATGTGGATGCAACTAATCTCACTCCAAGATTATGGTATGGAATTTAATGACATTTGAATTAAGGTGCCTTAGCTTTCCTTCTCCATCCAAGTAGGAAAGCACTAGGAATTTCCCCAAGTATATGATTTTGATATTTATTTAAGAAAATATGAATTTAAACTGCTTGGGCCGACATGGTTTAAATTTTAGGCCTCGGGCAAGTGCTGTTGGTGAGAGACTCTGGAGTCATAAAGAGGTCCGAGATGTAGAGGACGCCTACAAGAGACTAGCGATTCACCGCTGCAGAATGGTCAGGTAAGACAAATATTTACGTTGCAAGTTAGGATACTATTCAATCCAGGATGATTTTTAACCTTATTTAGCGTTAGCTAGATTCTTGGGGTTTTTTTTGCTATAAATAGAAATGTATGTCACCTAAGAAGTAATGATTTAATTAGGAGAAATTGGGAGCTATTTTTTGTAGGTAAGACAATAATACCTATAAGGAGAAGAAATATTTGGACTTAAAATGGTTTTATAGATATATTAAATTTTGGTGTAACTTAGAACTCCATCTTGAATCACTTTAACAATCTTTTTTCAATGAGTAACGCTATGGTTTAGTGATTCTGATTTAAGCTACTAAGTTCTTTATGATAGAGATGAGTTATATCAAACTAAATCAGTTTTTATTCATACGGTATCTGTTCTACAGACGCGGAATAGCTGCAGAGCCTCTTTTTACTGGATATTGTAGCCATGACGACAAAATGTAAAAATGAGCTGAAACAAAAACAGGAGGAGAAAAAAGCCCAAAGCAATCTGTACTACAATCAACTTGATTTTGAAATCATGTAAATTAAGATTTGGTATATAAATAAAATCTTTTTCTTGATTGAATCTCTATCTTATTACACATTACATAGAGAAGACTGGCATCTCTCTTGTGAGAGAAGGTTCAAAAGAGCTTGTGCTGTCACGGTCTATATTCCAAAAGGCGGAGGTCTTTACTACTGACAGTAATAACTCCGTAGGTACACAATACAGCTTAGGTACATTCACTTTCAGCATCAAGGCACATGTCTCATTACAGGCTTGATTCCAGACCACCAGAATAAAGCAAGTCACACGAATTTTCTGGTTTCCCAGTGCATATAAAAGTTATATTTACACTATACTGTAGTCTATTAAGTATGCAATAGCATTATGTCTTAAAAAAACAATGTACATACTTTAATTAAAAAAATACTCTATTGGGGCTCGCCCAGTGGCACAAGCGGCGAGCCCCAATCAAGTGCACGCGCTCTGCAGTGGCCGCCCAGGGTTCGCCAGTTTGGATCCCAGGCGCGCACCGATGCACCACTTGTCAAGCCACGCTGTGGCAGCGTCCCATATAAAGTGGAGGAAGATGGGCATGGATGTCAGCCCAGGGCGAGTCTTCCTCAGCAAAAAGAGGATTGGCAGATGTTAGCACAGGGCTGATCCTCCTCACAAAAAAAAAAAAAAAAAAAAACTTTATTGCTAAAAAATGCTAACCCATCATCTGAGCCTTCAGTGAGCTGTAATCTCTTTGCTGGCGGAGGGTCTTGTGAAAAATACAGTCTTTGCAAAGCACAACAGAGTAAGCTGTGCCTGTATATAAAGTAATCCATATACTGAACAATGTAACAAGGTCAAGTGAATACATAGGTGGGAAGCAGGAATCCTTAGAAGAGAGAGGTTCTCAACTACAAGAGGAAGATATGTTGCTTCAACAGCAACTGGAGGATGCTCCCAACAAAACAGAGAGTAAAGACAAGACAGTAATTAATATCCAGGGCCGACCGTAGGATACTGTAAAGAAACTGCAAGCCAAGAGTTAAAAACAAGATCTTATGCTGGAAGAAAGAAAGAAAGGAGTTAATGGATGAATGTAATCATTTAAAAGAAAGAATGCATCTGTCCGGAAAGGAGAAAGCAGAAAGAGAGGCAGCTGTGAGACAACTTCAACAAGAACTAGCTGACATCCTAAAAAAGTAATCGGTGTCAGAGGTTTCGCTGAAGGTTGTATCACGTTATCATATTCATTTAGGGGATGAGACACAGGATTTAAAGAAGAAATTTGATCAAATCAGAAGTCAATTGCAAGAAGTCAAGGATCGACATACAGAGGCCATAAGATGTGCTGAGACGCACAATCACAAGCAAAAGCTTGAAATTGAAAAATGCCGTATAAAGTTGCAATCAAAAAGCAAGTAAGCAAAATTGAACAGCTTCAGAAAAACCTATTAGATACAAGTTAGCTTGAGGATGAAAAGGAACAATTAAAGAAATTTACCAAGTAAAAACCATCTCTGGCATATAGTTTGGATCAAGAAATGAAGAAAAATGGTGAATTAGAAAAAGATTACTGGATCTAATTAACTCTTAAAAATAACAAGAAGGAAGTTAAAATGAAAATGCAGGGTGTAGTTTCCTTGGAGATTTAAAAACCAATCAAACTGAAATGGATATTCAGAGTAATAGGCTAAAACATAGTATTGATGATCTTACAGCAAAACGGGAAATTGCATCTTCAAAATGTGTACATCTGGATGCAGAAAATCAAGTTCTTTGAGTTATCTCTGAAAGCAATACAAAAGTGAAAAACTAGAGAAGAATAAAAAGAAGCTGGAACAAGTAGTAAATCTCAAAAGTCACATAAAAATGAGCATGGCAGAACCCAGTCAAGCAGAACAGTATAAACAAGAGACTGAAGAAAGAGCAAGACAGTAGAAAAATTAAAAGTCGTCAATCTATTACAGACACAAGCAGCTGCTCAAGAAAACTTAGAGCAGTTAAGAGAGAATAGTAATGCTTCAATAAGAAGTCACATGGGACTCTAAAGATCTGGAATCTTAAGAAAATTCTAATAAATTATTGGAAATTTATAAGCAACACTATCTAGAAGAATTAAAAGTTAGTACATCATTGGCAGATAAACTAAACAAGACTAATAAGAGGCTAGCAGAGAACAGCACCAAACTTCTCTTGGAGAAACAGCAGAACAGACTGATCTTTCCTCAGCACCCGTACTTTGAGGCCAGTTCTGGAGCCACCCTGTGTTGGAAATCATACTAGTCGTTTAGTGCTCAAGAGAAATCTTACTCCAAGGGAAAACTTAGTGATTCCTATCTCACGGCCCTGGCCTTTAAATAACAGCATGGAGTCTAGCTATGCCAAGATGTGGCAGGAGTTGGAAACAAGTATAACTAGAGGACCAGACAAAGATGCTGCTGCCTGTGCATCTCAATTCCGTAGAGCTGCTTGTTTAGAATCTACTGATGAGTCAAATCTAACTCAAGATCTAGTTTTGGAAGCGTCACAAGAATACGTGCAGATTTTGAAGAGAAATTATATGATCTAAAAGATTAATAGTAAAAATTTATTTACTGGGCTGTTTACATAGCATTTTAATTGTTTCCCCTTAAATATATGACATGAAAATCTTTATTAAAGGAAAATATTTTTGTATTAAAAAAAAGTAGAATGGACAGCTCCAGTGCCACTGTCAGTTTAAGTTACATCTTTTATCTGGTTCTTTGTACTAAAACAGTAATTTATTTGTCCAACAGATAAAGCAATAAAAATTGTTCTTACTGAAACGAAGTAGGTAAGTTCTCCTGAATGTCTCTCCAAGGACCTAGAGCACCTAGATGAAGCCACTTCTCCGGTTCAGCAGTGTACTTTGGTCTTGAGGATTCATAGCTTGATAATTAGACAGCTCTAAGGCAAAAGTAGCTGAGCCTGATGTTAGCGTTCGAAGCACAGTTGAATAACCCTAATCAAAATAATGGAAGTCAGTTATCTCATCAAATTTAAGCCTCAAGTTTTTCTTCCTGCTGCTTATCTTTTGACCATTATCAAGAAAGGTGACAATGTTACTCATGTGACTTAACCATATCACTTCCTTCACATGGATCATTTAACCATTTTCTCAGGAAAAACTGATGTAGAAGTATTGTGGAGAACAGGAAACAGAGTAATGTGGGTCAGCTTCAGCTGTGTTCCCTGGTCCCCGCATTTGGTAAGATGACCCTGCCCTTCCTACGGCTCCGCTGGCACTCAGGGGCCTGTCCTGGAGCAGAAGAGGCTGGTGGGGAGAAGAACACTTCCTGAAAACTGGCAACGGGAGAGGCAGGATGAGTGCTTGGAAGGAAACAGTGGTCCTTTATGCTGGCGCCACATTTTGATACAGCACACCTCAACCTTGTGGCGGGCAGCCTGGAATCGACCCCTGTGCTGCCATAATCCCCTGGATTTCCCCGACAAATTAAATCTCAAGTCCTAACAGTTCCTGATGGTTGAAACTTAACAAGCATCCCATAAATCAAAGCCCAGATGCTTCTCTCAGGTGTACTGGTCTGTTTTTGTTCAGCATACATATTCCCTGTATTAAAAAGAATATGTACTTTTCAGTCACAAAGCACCTACCATGATTTCTGCTAAGGGAACAAATCCAATAACAACTTTGTTGTCCTGATGAGTCTGAATTTCCTGAATGTTCCCTCTTCTTTGTGCCAGATCTGCCAGGACAGGGCTGAGGTAATCTTTAGTCACTGTAACCTCCAGACTCATCAGGGGCTCTAAAACTTGCTTGTCAGCTTTCTTCAGAGCCTGAAGAAATGAAAGAATATTAACCCCTCTTCCCAAATGGGAAATCAAATTTCCATCCAAAAAAAAAAAGAGGAAGATAATACTTAAATACTGCCCATACTCTTAAGCCTAGAGCTCTAGTAAAGACATAGCCTTCTTTAACTCTCTATAAAGATAACATCTTATAAGAAGTCAGAAACTTCAGTATTTGCTTGTACATGCATGACAACAGTCCTGAGATCTCTGTATGGTATGTTGCAAGGGGTGCACAGTAAAGCTTGATTACACAGAGCACCTGTGAACACCTGCCCAGAGACACAGCGAAAGAAAACCGTCTTCCCCTTCCAATCGAAGACTTAGTGCTTCCTATTTAAACTTGTGTTTTGTTCCTGATGCCTATAGTTCCAGTCCATGGCACGTGTCAGGGCAGTCAAGTAGGGAAATAAAGGGGAGAACTAAAAAAAAAAAAAAAACGATAAATTGAACACAATAAGGTAGTAGAAACACATTCTCTATTTAAAATAAACAGTTTGTTATCTGTTCAGAATTTTAGGCTTCAAAGGCCAAGAAGAAAAAGCACATAAAGAAAAGAACATGGAAACTGAAAGAAGCTACACTAGCGTGGGGTGAGTAGAAGTGGAAGAAAACTGGGGAAGGAGCAGCAACGTAAAGAAAACTTGTTGGTCCCAGCCAGACACCGTCTTCACTATCATTACATCAGACTAACTGCTACGTGGGTTTCGGACGGTGTCTGCAAGCACCATAAGTACTGGTGGTTTGATTTTAAAAGCCATCCTATTTCTCCAGCCTGCCCGAGTTCAAAAGTAACAAAACAATTTCCTACAAAGTCTAAGCCTCTGCTTGGTTATCAGGTAGGATATAAAAAACTTAGATTTAGCCAAGGAAACCAGGTACCTCAGAGAGCTAGGACTCTGGAACGTGCCCTCACCTGTGGCTGATCATCTTCCTGCTCCTACCCACCACTCACTTCTCATTCGTACTAAGCCTTAGATGGTGACTTCATCATCGCCTCTAGTGTCAAGTAATGGTTCTGGGCCTCTAACCCCTTGTCCCTGATTCCTCACCTCTTCCCTGCCCCTCACCCTCACAATCATGAAAAATGGCCACATTAGTAAAATCAAGAGTATATTCTCTTTATCAGAGCAATTTCAAAAAACAGC